TTTATATCCTAAATACAAAGCATACTAAATGGCAGTTTGAAGTCACAGTCATGCATTTAATGTGTCTTGAATATTTTAAGTTAATTCTGTTATGTTTTTTTAGTAGCATTGTTTCCTAAAGAAAACCACTCTTTGATTGTTGCTCTGTCAGAATTGTGTGCACCCTGTAACATCTTTGATCGTGGTAGTCCAATTTTCCTAACAATTTTGTTACTGTGCTGTGAAAGATTGGAAATTTGAAGTATGTAGTGTGTATGATACTAAATTGTGATTTGGTGGGACTTACACAACAGCTTTCAACATTTGAAGACAGTGGTTCTTGATATCCTCTTCAGGAAAACTTGCTTACAGATTTGAAGCTGGAATGTCACTGGAATAACTTAAAAAGAATCACTATACTTGGCTTTTAAAATTTTTGGTTTGTATGTTAAGAATTGGGTACAAATTGAAATGTCTGCACTGATCCTTGACACAACCAATAACTATCAATCACAAAAAAAAAGTGGGGTTCAAGAATATGGTCCCGTGTGTGCGTGTGTCACCATTGGTATCTGTTAGAAATGGAAGCATGGCCTGGTTATGTTAGAACAAATTTTTGAAGTGGTAGAAAATTACAACTGTGTCCTTTTTTGTTCCCCATCAGGTTCCTGGGTAGAATTGCACTTTAGCAATAATGGGAACGGGAACAGTGTTCCAGCCTCAGTCTCTATTTATAATGGTGATATGGAAAAAATACTGCTGGATGCTCAACATGAATCTGGACGGAGTAGCTCCAAAAGTTCTCACTGTGACAGGTAATTGTAAATAAGTATATGTATTACAGTGCTGATACGCAAAATAAATGAGCAGCCACAATTGTGAATGCCTGTATAACCTTTAAGGACCCGTGTGTGTGTGTGTGTGTGTGTGTGTGTGTGCACATGTGTGTTTCTCCAGCTCAGGACACACTCAGTAATGTGTGTGTTGCTGCAGTCCTCTTTTTACAAAAGGAGCCTTGTCATCTGGGGAGGAAGTTACCTGGTCTTAGTCTGTGAAGAGACCGTTTTGTTAAAGCTAGGGAGGAGGCAACAGGCAAATGGCACCCACTTTTGCCCTGATACATAAGCCAGTTTTGTGAAATCAGTCATCATGAACCCCAAGTCTGAGAAATTTACTCCTACACCTCAACAGGGTGTCCTCATCAGAGAGCTGTAGGCTCTTGGTTAACAACACTTAGGAATGAATCCCAGACAGCGTGTCTGTGAAAGTCTGTGATCAAAGGTCAGGTGCTGTGGAGAGCTGTGCAAGAGACCATGAAGCTGGTGAGGAACAGAGCCAGCTATTCACTGACTATCCTCGTCTCTTTGCCAGAAGACTGGGTAGCTGATTCTTGCCATGCTCAGCTGAAAAGACTTGGGAATGGCTTGGCCCTGTTTTGAAGCCGGGTGGAAGGGAAGACTACTATGCTGGCTAGAACTCCCTTCTCACTGAGTCAGTTCCCTGCCTTTGGGGTTTTTGCTTCTAATGATAGAATGTTAACATGATGTTCTGTTTTTCTCATTCTGTTCACATCATTGCCAAGCCCACCTCGCTCACAGACACCACAAGATATTAATAGAGCTTCTGAAACAGATACCCACAGCATTGGAGAAAAAAACAGCTCTCAGGTAAGATGGAGAGGACAGTTGTAAACATTGTGATGTTTGTATATTAAAGTCTTAAAAGTAATTTGAGTAGGGAAATGTTTGGCTTTTAGGGTGTCTCCTGCTTTAAAAAAAAAAAAAAAAGGTCTGTAGCTGCGGACATCCCCAATACATGGGCTTCACAATGAGCTGACCAGAAGAGGTATGGAGTTGTACTAGTAGCATGAACCTCTTTTATCCCCTCTTTCAATCCAGGGACTCACATGAAGTGAAATAGGATTCCCTTGTGTCTATATCCTGGAGAGAGAGTAAGTGGCCATTGGGAAGGATGGCTGTGAGCCAGCTACTGGATTCTCTCTTTACTATTGGTTGGGCATTGAGTGAATCTTAATATCTATTAGCTGTTTGAGAGTTATAGAGCTATTCAGGGCTATTCCAGTTGTGATTTTGGTTGTGTTCCTCATTAGACATTGTCATCGCTTGCCAGAAATTACAGCCCAGGCCTTTCCTGACATTCCATGCTGACGCTTGCATAGTTCAGCATTAGTAGTTATCAGCTTGGTAACTTGAGTTTGAGATCACTTTTCTAACGTTAATTCAAATATTTAATGGTCTTACACATCAAAAACTTACTAGCATAGTAGTGGGGCCACAAAATCTTCTGAAAACACACCTCTATGAAGAAAAATTATATCTGGGATTCCTGCCTTAGTTTACTATAATTCTTTTCCCATTTCACTACTGCATGGGATTTTGAGCTTGTGATCAATAATATCTTGCTTAGTTATATCCAACAGTGCTTTATCTCACACGTATTAGATGCACAGTATTTTCCTAAGTATTTAATAATGGTGACAATATACACAGTAAAATTTTTTTCTGTAGTCTTCCAAAACTCTTAACAGCCAGTATTAATTATTTTCCCTCCTATACTAGTTTCTCTTTGAGAATCTCTGTCAAGTGTATACATCCTATGGCAAAAACATTAAAAAAAAAAAAAGAAATGGATTGGATAACAATAGTTGTTTGAAAATAATTAACTTTGGTGACCAGGATCAGGAATAAAGTTGGTATCAATAATAGTTTGGTCAGGAAGTTTTTTGGACAGATGTCATTTTAGAAGTAGTCCTTGTATAAGGTTGCCAGGGTCTTTGTGCAAGGTTGTGGTTCTGGCAGTCTTCTAAATAACATTTTATGTTATCAGGCAGAAAGCCCCCTCTGTGGGGTAAAGTAAAAATTCTAACTTACAGCTTGGCACATTCCCCACACAAAACACATGGCTCAGTTTAGTCAAGTTTAAAAAAATGACTCCATTTTGTTTCTGACAGCTTTTATATGGTTATATGTGAATTTCTGCCTTTTTCTTCCCTGCTTGTAATGAAAAGCATCTTTTAAACTTACTTGCTACACATATTCCATTTACTTATTGGTCACATCCCTGTTTTGAGCCATTTTAGATTTTCATTTTACTTTGTTATAACCAGTACTACAGTCTCATCATCTTTGTTTTCACATCATATTACTTTTTTTTGGGGGGGGGGGCGCGTTTTCGCTATAGGGCACGTGCACTTGCCAGACAGACAGAGACATAGAGAGAGAAAGCGAGAAATCACCCCCCGGGGGAATGGTCACGCCGCAGTCCCTTCTCCTCCATTCTCCTCTTGGGATCTTGGGCATGCACGTACACGGGCCCGGCGTGAGTTCTAAGCCACCGGGTCCGGGACATGAACCGCGGTCGACTATGTGGGAGTCCAGTGACAGCCATTACGCAAACTGCTGGTTCCCACATCATATTACTTTTGTAGAACAATGTTTGTACCCAGAATCTCATAGTTGGATCAAATACATTAGCACACTGCACAGGACTTCCATAGAAGTAGTCAGTTTAAAAGTAGCATAAAAAGGGGCACGTGGCATGGTGGTTAAGGTGGCTGGGCTCCCACATGGCTGACTGTGGTTCAAGTCCTGAACCTGGCAGCTTGCTTCTCACTTTCCTTCTCTCTCTCTATCTCTGATCAACTTCAAAAAAATAAAATAATGACAATGAATTAAAAAAAAGGAAAAGGAAACTTAGCCATTTAAATAAAAAATAGCAAAAGAATGCAAAAGCTCCTGTTTTTGCCATAGGTTGGACACCACCATGCCCAAGAATACAAAAGCTCTTGTAAGAAGAGCATTTTATGTAGCTAGTATCCTACCGTGCACTCATATTTCATGCATTGCACTATTAGAGCAGTGGGAGGAGAGCATGCCAAGAGCCAGGGTGTAATGGGATCCAGATGAAACCGTGCTTCATGACCTGTCTTGGACTGTGATCCAGGGTATTGACCCTGTCTCTGGGCTATGAGTTCCTTTTGCTGATTTGATGCTCAGGTGGAAGGTCAGTGGTTCCTAGTGTGAATACAGTAGGTTAATCTGCTTTTAACATCTGCTTTATTTTAGTCCGAGGAAGATTATATTGAGAGAAGGAAAGAGGTTGAAAGCATCTTGAAGAAGAACTCAGATTGGATATGGGATTGGTCAAGTCGGCCAGAAAATATCCCCCCCAAGTGAGTGTGTTTTCAGTATCATGGGATCTTCTTCTGATAGAGGACATATTTACTAACACTAACATTTTTTTCTACCCTAGAGAGTTTCTCTTTAAGCACCCAAAGCGCACAGCTACTCTCAGCATGAGAAACACAAGTGTTATGAAGAAAGGGGGTATTTTCTCAGCAGAATTTCTAAAGGTTTTTCTTCCATCTCTGCTGCTCTCTCATCTGCTAGCCATTGGATTGGGGTAGGTGACATTGATGCGCAAGGTACAGTGTATCTTGGGGTGATTCTAGATCTCACCAATTTATTTTTAAACTTTTTATTGAAGTAAAAATTCTAACTTACAGCTTGGCACATTCCTCACATAAAACCCTCAGCAGCTTCCTGTCACCATAGTATAAAAATCCATTCTCTTTAGTTTTAGTTTGTCCCAGAAAGCTCCCTCAGTCTGGTCTCAGTCTCATTTCTTAGCCTTTCTCACAAGTCTGGCCAGCAGACTTAACTGTTTTTGTCTCCCTTTTCCAGAGTCCTATCCTTATTCTTGTGCTGTGTGACACTCACTGCTTTCCGCTCATTAGCTCAATGAGACTTTCATCCCAGAAAGCCACTTCTGACACTCCTGCTTCTTGGGTTTGGGGTTCCTTGTTCTTATTACCAAACTTAGACTGCTCGAGGGCAGGGGCTTCATTATTCATCAGATGGCCTTTGTGAGGTTGGTGGTGCTGAATTTAACAGCATTATCAACTTGATCTGGTGGGTGACTCCCTCCAGCACTGTGTTGACTCAATTTAAAAATAGCAAAGGAATGCAAAAGCTGTTGTAGTAATAGCATTTCATGTTGTTAGTATCCTGCCTTGCAGTCATATTTAGTACATAGCACTGTTAAAACACAAGTGGATGTTTTCTAAATTAAATATAAAATACATATTGATGAATAGAATACTTGATAAAACATTACAAATAAATTTATAAATTTTTAAAATAATAGATATAAAATAGCCAGTCCCTTCCATAAACTATAAGCACAACCAGTTGGCCTGTTTTATCTGTGCAAAATCCCTTAAAGATCCTGAAAGTACATTAACTGCCAATTACTTTTTCTGTTAAGGATTTATATTGGAAGGCGTCTGACAACCTCCACTAGCACCTTTTGATGAAGAATTGGAATCCGACTCTTTTCATTTAGTGAGAATTTATATCTGAGCTTGCAACTTAGCTAACTGAAGAGCTACTGTGATCCTTGGGTGGCTTTACCGATTGTGTTTAAGTTCTGTAAATGCTGCGTTCCTAATTTAGTAAAATGAAAATATAGACAGTAAAATCATGCTGACCTATAATTATACCTGTGGGATCAATTAACATTAGCATGTCATACCGATTAATATTGACTAGAGCAATTTGGTAGTAAATTCTATTTCAATATTAGATATAAATATCTAAGTATAAATACTTTTAATACACTAGTCATGATATGTAGTATTTAAAAATGATGTATAACCTGAATTGAGTTAGAACACTTTATATTTCAAAAGAATGAGTAACATGATATCATAATCATGACATTAAGGGGTTTGTCCAAAATAAATATTGTGGCCTTATAATTCACATTATTGCAGAAAATTTAAAATGGATGCAGGTTGACTACTACAGACTACACTATGCTATTTGTTCTTAAGTAATAAAGAGAAGCCAAGGTACAGCTACAGACTGTATGTACAGTGCATACATTAAACTGTTCTGCTTTTGCAGTATAAGGACTTCAGCCTCTGATTGTTAAGTAATCAGTCACCTTCACAATTGGTTTTCTGTTGATGGTACCTTCTCAGTATCTTTTACTCTTCATCCCTCTGGATTGCTGCATTTAATCTTACCCTTTGTGCTTTAACTTGTGCTCTTAAAATCAGCTTCATTCTAAGCAAATCTGTGTCTACTTTAAAAGACTGGAAATAGAAAAAAAATAAATCTTCACCAAATCCTTCAGATTTCTGTATTTACATATGGTCATAAAAGCTTCTTGATTAAACCAGGCCTATTCCCCATTACTGCATTCTTTTTTACAGCATGTTATTTAAAAAGGCTGTCTCTGTATATGTTATGGTATATTCATTTTACCCTTCCACACTTAATTAAGGTATACTACAACCTGATATTTTAAGTTTTTTAAATCCTCGTATTTAAACTATTAAATTGGAAGCAATAGCATGTAGCCCTTTCATTTGAAGAAAGCTAATTGAATGCCACCAGAATTATTTATGTAGTTTATCCTTGAAAAAAAGATAGTCTGTGAGGTCTCATTGAATCACACTGGCCAAGTGAACTGACGAACTGACTTTTGTTTTAGAGCAAACATGTTTGTCTTAATCAGAAACACCTGCTTATTCTTTCTTGGACTTAATACCCAACAGAGCTCAATGAATCTCCTATGCACCATCTGAATTATCACTTAGTTATTTGGGAAACTTGACAAAGCCAATCACATTTGTCTCTCTCACTGATGGCATTAGCTGAACTCTTAGTGAAACTGGCTAGTAGTTTTTTTTTTTTTTTTAGAGGTTTTTGCTATAGGGCGCGTGCGCTCGCCAGACAGGCAGAAAAAGCCAGAGAGATAGAAAGCGAGAAATCACCCCCCAGGGGGGATGGCCACACCACAGCCCCTTCTCCTCCACTCTCCTCTTGGGATCTTGGGCAGCACGCACACGTGCCCGGCGTGAGTTTTAAGCCACTGGGTCCGGGACGCGAACTGCGGTTGGCTACAAGGGAGTCCAGTGACATAGCCATTACACTAACTGCTGGTCCCTAGAAGTATAGTTCTAAACGGTTGTTACTAAAATGCTTTAGATAAATGCGATGGGAGACCAAGACTTGAGTTTTCTAGAGGATTTTTCATTAGACTATGACATTATGGTAGATATTTGACTGATTTAAAATGAAGAAACAGGGCCAGCTCTAGAGCCTAGTTAAGGGAGCCAGATTTCCACATGGCCAGCTGCATGATTCAGATCCCACCCCTGATGGCTTGAAAAAGATGTGAGGCATTTGTGCATGCATACTCAAAATCCCAATAGGATGGAGAAATAGAGAAGGGACTGGAGCATGACCATGCCCTCCTGGGGCGTGCTTTCTCTCTCTCTGATGAGTGCATTCACCTTCTGGCAATTAAAAAAAATAAGGGCCATGGCATGTTGGTTAAGGTGGCTGGATTCCAGATAACCAGTTGTGTGGTTTCAATCTGGACCTGGTGGCTTGAAAAACATCCCCAGTGCATGTACATACATGCTCAAAATCTCTAGCAGAGAAGGGATTTTGGTACCATGGCCAACCCCCACTCAGGGCAGGGCTTTCTCATCAGCCACCCTCCCCCACCCCCACCCAAAGTTTTATATAGGTGGAGTATCACTTATCTAAAATGCTGGTGACCAGAAGTGTTTTGGATTATGAATATTTTTACATTTTGGAATACATGCATGTATACAATGTCTTGGGGATAGGGTACTCTAAACACAGACTTCATTTATGTTTTATGTATACCTTAACCACATAGCTTGAAAATAATTTTGTATAAAATTTTTGTCTTTTTTTTTTTTATACAGTATTTTTGTATAGCAGTATTTTAACTGAGCTGTCATTTGAGGTCAGGTATGGAGTGTCATATTGATGATGAAAAAGTTTTGGATTTTGGAGCATTTCACATTTCAAGTTTTTGGATTAGGGATGCTCAACATGTATGTAAGTCTGTGTATATTTCTGTGGCCATGTGTATTGTGTCTGTGTGTACATAAAATTTATTTTTTTCAGGTAGAACAGTGGCAGTGTAGTAATGTTTTGAATAGTTTTTACAAGTAGATCTTTTTTCTACTATTTATGCAAATAACTATATCATCATTCATTTTATTTATAAAATGTTTAACAAAACAAATAATTTGGACTTAAGGACAGTTAACACTAGCCACTACTAACTAATATAGTTGCTCAATGCAGACATTTGCACAAATCGTAAGGTCACTGAGGTTGCAGACTACAGACTATGACCATTGCTAGAGGGAAAGCAAATAACTTACCCCTCTCTAGAGCGGAATTGAGCACTACTTTAAAAAAAGGAGAAACTACATCTGCACTTCCCTTTTGATCTACAACCCACTTCTAGGATTTACTCTGAAGATAAACCTCTAAAAATTTCAAAATACACATGCACAAGGACATAACTAAATATAGAGTCCTCTGCTGGCATCTGTTGGGGATTGATTTCAGTACCCCCAAAGAATACCAAAATCTGTGTTCAAGTCCCTTCTATACTTTAAGTCATTTCTAGATTACTTATAATAATATAATACAGTGTAAATCCAATGTAAATGGTTCTTTTAATTATTTAGAGAGTAATGACAAGAAAAAGTTACTACATGTTCATAATAGAGGTTGCAACTATTATAGGCCTAAATACATAATGCACATCAGCAACAGCATGACATTTATGATCTGCAGTTGGTTGTGCAGATAGAGAACCACATTGTGTATGTATTGTGTGCGTATCTGTGTGTGTATATTTTGCATGTGGACACACAGGGCAGGCTATTTAAATACTTATTACAATACTAGCATATTAAGATATTTAAAACAACTAAAGTGTCTGCATAAGAGAAAGGATGATTCAGTAAGCTGTATTACAGCCACACAAGTTAAACACAGTGAGGAAACAGCTATTAAACAGAATGAGTTCAGTGAGCTGATACTGAGTGATATACAAGATCTGTTAGTAAAAGACAAAATTAAAAATGTATGCATCCCTAAAAAAGGAAGTAACATTTGATGACAGGTGTTTGAAACAAGAAACCCATTGCATTTTTAAAACAGCCTCCCAATATTTGACAGTCCTCTCAACAGATGAAATAGTGTTCTCTCCCTTTGGACTCTGTACTAGTTGGCCAACAGGATAAGGAAGAAGTGATGCTTGTGTTGGTTTCTGAGCCCACACAGCCTTAAGAAACTGGCAGCAGTTTGTTGGGGGCACTTGCTCTTAAAACTCAGCTCCACTCTGGGAGGAATCCAACTGCTCAATGGACAAACCCATCTGGAAAGGACCAACCAGCAAAACAACTAGCTATGTGGCTGCTCCATCTTTGAAGATCCTTTACTGCCAGGAGAGCTACCCAAGTTGACACCATCTGGAGCAGAAAGGAACTGAACCTGCTGTACCCTGCCATACTGCAGATTGGTGAACAAAAATAAAGGGCTGTTGTTAAAAAAAAATGATTCTGAAATGTACCTATCATTTATGATAAAAGAGCTAAGGAAATTTACATTTATTTGCTCATTTGTGCAAAAAAGGAAATAAATGAAATTGGTTTTCTGTAGGAAGTGGGTGTTAACAGGTTGAATAGGAAAATGGTTAGCTAGGAGTAAGTATACTTTTCTGTATAACGACTCTTAACCTGCACATGCTGCCAAAAATCAATGAATAAAGCCAGCTATTTGGGGTAGAACCCAAAATGAAATATAAAGAATAAGGGAACCACGATCAGCAGTTGGTGTAATGGCTATGTTGCTGGACTCGCATGTAGGCAAACACAGTTTAAGTACTGGACCTGGTGGCTTAAGCTCATGCTGGGCATGTGTGCGTGCGTGCCCAAGATCTGAGAGGAGAAGGGATTGCAGTGTGGCAATCATTGTGGCGTGGCAATCACCCCCTGGGGGGTTATTTCTTGCTTTCTGTTTGTCTCTCTGGCGAGCAAACGCACCCTTATAGCAAAAACTTCTCAAAAAAAAAAAAAAAAGGAACCAAACTCTTTTATGTGAATAATAAAACCTCTTTGAAAGGTGGTTAGGAAGGCACTAACCTAAATAAATGGAAAACAGTATTTGAACTAGATACTATTAAATAAAAACAACAAAAGTATTGTGCTCTTGCTAATAAATTTTTTCATAAGGGTATGATTTAGCAATTCTGAAACTGTATACAATATTGAACAGAAAAGTTTATTATGGATTATAAAGGCCTGGCTTCTCACCATTGGAGAAGTTACAAATAAAGAAGAGTGGGGGTGATTATGAAAGACAAAAAGGTTTTGGGCAGTATTAGTAATAACTCATGGTTTGAAAGATGGATGTATGTGGGGCCGGCAGGTGGTGTCGTGGTTAAAGGTGCTGGACTCCCACGTGGGCAGCTTGCTTTCTCACTGTTCCTCCCTCCCTCCCTCCCTCCCTCCCTCTCTGGTCAAATTTAATTTTCTTTTTTGAGGTTTTTGCTATAGGGTGCGTACGCTTGCCAGACACAGACAAAAAGCGAGAAATTACCCCCCTGGGGGGGGATGGCCACGCCACAGTCCCTTCTCCATTCTCTCAGGATCTTCGGCACACACGAACACGTGCCCAGCGTTAGTTTAAGCCACGGGGTCCAGGACTTGAACCACGGTCGAGTACATGGGAGTCCAGTGACATAGCCATTATGCTATCTGCTAGTCCCCGAATAAAAGTAATTCTTCAAAAAAAAAAATAGACTTTAAAAAAAATGTAGATGTATGTGAGTACATGGGTATCTTCAAAAAGCTCATAGAAAATGCATTATGAAAAACAATTTTTTTTGGTAGCAAAATAAAACTTGTACTAAAGTTAATTCTATTTCCATAAACTTTGAAGTCCCTAATTTGTAGTTCTGTCTAGTGAAATGGCCTAGAAGCAATGACCCTTAAATAGCAGTGAGCTCAACCACCATTCAGATCTTCATTTCCAATATTCTTCAGTAAAAGGAACCATAACTCCTTGAAGAAGTGGTTGATTGGGACAAGATGAGTGGGAAATTTATAGTGTAAGGAAGTAGGAAATGCTCAAGAAATGATAGCATAGTGAAGAGACACAGGAGCCCACGTGTCCAACTTTGAAGACCTCTAAGACTTGGACAGTCTGTTAACCAATGGTAACAAATTAATGGTATTAATACATTTTAAGCCACAGATCAGGCAGGTATCAATGAGTCCATGCTGATGGGTAATAAATGAAGAAAAAATAGTTAAAACTCATGGTAGAATTCAATTCATTATAGAAGGAATGATGAAGATAGAAAATCACATTAGCAAATACCATAAACTGCCCACTCATCAGTGGCAACTAAAGTTAGCAGGGAAACGTTTAATGGAAAGTATTTCCCACAAGATACTAATTACAGAACTGGTCTTGTAGTTGCAATGGTTTAGTACTGGGCATAGGGATCTGGATCCCACATTGACTGATCATGATTTGAATTTTAGTTTTGATGGCTTGAAAATGTTAGGTGTATGTGCATGTGTGTTTCAAATCCTGGCCTGGAAGGAATGAAGAAGGGATTGCAGCATGAACATGTCCCATTGGGAGGCATGCTTTCTCTCTATCCCCCTTTCTGGTGAGCACACAAACT